AAAGTTACGGGAAGATATGCGTGGCAGCTTGACAAAGTGCGAGCTGCCAAGGCTCTCGATAAGCGTGATATCGACATGGTAATCTACAACCAGTAGCTGGTTGCAGAGACTCAATGGCAGTGAGATATCGTATTCGTGATATGTAATGCCGACATACCTACCTTGCTTTGCCCCTCCGGTCTGCAGAGGTGATGAAGATGCTTCGCCACGCAAGACCAAGAGGTCGTCCTGGCTCGGCAGGCTAGGATCTGATATGCCAAGATATAAAAAAAAAAAGGTGTTTGCTGATGCAGATGGGGGTGTCATAATCGACAATGTCCGGTGAGGTATCCTCGCCCCCGCCGCACCGGAAATAATCAGGCTCCCAGCGAGCCGGAATTTGATACCCTACGTTCTGGCTCTTCCGGGAATAAGAAGAGCGTGCGAAAGGATATGCTGACCCGGACCGACCACGGAATGCGCGTCTCTCTTCAACAGGTACCATTCATAACGAACGGTCCGGTCAAATGCTGGCTGCCCCGACATCCAAAAGAGGGGCTCAGAATTTGATGGCTGACGAGCAGAGGAAAAGAGGCGGGCAAGCCACACGTTGTGTAACCCGTGATGCACTCCGGTCACCAGCATTCTTGCTTCTGGCCGTCGTCTTATCCATCGGCCAGTACCGGGGCGCCACTCACAAACAGATGGCAAGTTGGCCAATTGAGGCAAGTATCGAGGATACGGTCATCCAAGTCGTTGATGCACTGTCGTCGGCGCAATGCCGACTCCGAGGCGCTTTGCAAGCTCCTCGGCCCACCGGCGAGCATACCATTCTCTCTTCGTCTTGCCATCGCCAGCAAGACTCAACTGCCTCCAGGAATCCTCGCCGAGTTCGGCTCTGACACTGGTGGCGGTTTTACCTTCGAGTCCGCACGGCACGAACCTCGCCCAAGGATTGAATGCCTCGTCGCCGTCGACGGCAACGTCCACGTTAAGCGCCGTGCCGAGCCCAGAGATATGACGGCGAAGGTGAACACCCATGGCGGCAATCTTGCGCTCCTGCCCTCCTGTTCGCTGCCTTGCGGCCTCGGCCCAAACTCCCGGATCGTCCTCGGAGAGGTACGTCTGGACCCCAGGTCCATCGGCGAGGATCGCTTGTGTGGTCTCCTCTAGAAGTCGCGCGTAGGATCGGACGGTCAGGCGGGGATAGTATGTGCTGTGCAGGTCCAGTATCGGCCACAGGACGACCTGCCCAGGTCCATGATATGTTGTCAATCCGCCGCGATCTGTCTCAATGACTTCGGGCGTGAATTGCTGCTCTCCTGAACTTGTTCCGCCATTTTGCTCCTCTGCCGCGACCTTCGTCTCTTCGATGACATTCAAAGGCTGTTGAAGTCGTTCCAGCTGCTCGGGTAGTAAGGTCTTTTGGCGGCGGCCAAGCGTATACGTTGGTGCCGGAGTGAAAGATAGGACGAGCGGCGACGGAGCGCGGGAGTTCGGCGCCGACTTCCAGTCGAGGAAGACCTGACGTAAGGCAGTTTGAAAATTTGAAGCCGAATCATACGATGGAAAATGTTTCGAATCAGAACCGTCGAGGTGAAGGTGTCGCAATTCGCTCGGTTCGGCGCCGTCGTCCTCAGGGAAGACCAACTTGGAGATTGGCGTTGAGGAGCTCCATCTTGCCTGTCGCAAGATGATACCAGGTATCTGATTCGCTGAGCGTGTCAGGGTTGGAGTTGGAAATGTAGAAATCCGGTATGCGGTTCGAAGGGTCCCCATCGGCTCGCGTGTTGTCGGAGGTTGCTGTGGACTTGAACGGAGTTTGTCGACGAAGATTGTGGCTGAGGTGAAGTCATACGCAAGCTGCCCGGAGCTTGAACAAAGTTTAGCGGAACGAGCCGGCTGGAACTGTCATCGGTACGTATCTTATCGATAGAGTTAGGTTATCGGCAAACGCACGAGCCACCTTCCGTCATAGGCACCGTGAGATGGGCGTAGGGTTCATGATCCTTCAGAATCCCCGGTCTGTCACGGCATACAAGTCGTTTTCTGAGCAATCGTTATCGATAATGTGTGGCCTCTGTCTGCGCGGGTCGCCTCACACCAACTGTCACGTCGTCAAGTTCATTCAGCTCATCGGTACGCTCCTACGGCTCTTTGTCGTGCTAGAACGGGAGTGCTTTCACGATTGCCTCAAGGTCCCTCGGTATGTTGTGGCTTCATTGCGAGTGGGTTACGACTCCTCATTGTGTCATCTGTATAAGACAGGTAGCTCTTGTCAGCTCGTGTCCGCGCTGCATGTGCGTGCCATTGGACATCCAAGACACGATGCCGTAACTTCCTTGAGATGGTGAGACACTTGTGCGCTTTTCCATAACTCAATGCCCTCCTAATGACGGCTTGCCCTTTCCTTGGGAAGCATGATGTCTTTTGTCCATCGAGCTCTAGCCGACACATTAAAACCCAGCTGGGCCAGATTCGCTTTCTTCCAGCTATGATACCGTCACCCAGCACTTCATGATGATGACATTGAGATGCCTTGTCAAGCTGACAAGATGTTTCGTATGGAGCTCGAAGTCTGGTAGTGTGCCGAGCCGACGCCGGCGTACGACCAAGTGGGGTTACCGGATGCACCGAGTCGATCTGGCGCCGATGGTCTCGAGAGCATGACGGACAAGCCAGGTGTTTCTTATTTGTCAGTTACGAAGGGACTTCGAAACGAGAGGTCTTCTAAGTTGGGGCCCAATAGCGAGGAGAATCGAAACCGAAGTCGAAGTAAGCAGTGCGTCTGTCAAGCTGCGAAGGAGAAGTCAGAGTTCCCGTCCCATCCGGCGGGTGACGCGAGAGCACCCAAGCTAAGCCTCTCTGTGTGCGAGCTGGACGGTGGAATATTTGCAGCACGGCATCTGAGCCACAGTAGGACACATCGCCTTGGTCCAGGCCGCGCAAGATATCAAAGACAACTGAGCAATCCCGATACGATGCCATCGATTCCCGCGAAGACAGGTGGGTTGGTAGTAGTTCAAATGTCAAGACGCGGAGACTCTGTGAGCTGCGCCAGACGCGCAATTCTCGGAAAGTTGGTCGAAAATGGCGGAAGCAAGGTGTTCGGTCTGCCTTGGCATGCAGAGTGCTACTGGACGCACAAAGACCCTGCATCTAGCAGTCGGAGAAGACGAGCCACTCAACTCGAGAAACAACGTCCGGCATCTCGTCCCATGGTGTTGACGACAGAATAGGTATTAGTGTTTTCAGTAAAAGGGTGAGCAATTGTTCGGGTCCAGCCATCCGCTTTGGCATGCCGCATGTGAGGTTTTCATCGGATGGGTGGGAGTTCAGCAAACGCTTGGCCGAAGCACCAGACGAAGAAGCCGCAGCCATGTGCTTTTCATCCGAACCGAAACAGAACCTAGGAGGATCCTGTAAGGATATCCGTACGGAGCACAGAATACTGAGATGCAAGTTGACAGTCCTAGGCCTTATTTCGATGAAGCATCCGAGCGGAAGATTGGCAGCCTTGTTCGGAGCCTGAAGAAGATTAGCGTGTTGACGATCACGACCGAAGGAGACGATGGAGCCTTGGAGCCTTGGAGATGCAAGCAGCCAGCGAGGGGTCAGAGTGCGAGGAACTGAATCGTGACGAAGGATGTGGTTGGCCCGGTGCGAAAAGAGAAAAGCCAGGGGGGAGAAGAGCTGGAAAAGGATGTTGGATGACGTCGTGGCAGGGTGGGGGCTGGGCCGAGGAAGGTCCCTGCGCTGGCAGTCGGTGACTGGCGTGCGCGACGAATCACAGTGGCTCAGGAGAACCAGGCGCTAGGGGGGACGGTCCAGCGCTGTTGCCCAGCAAGATCTCGGTTGACTACGGGTTCACCGTGTGCGACTGACTATCAACTGTATGCTTAACGTGCAGAATCACGTACGTATCTACAGTCCGTCTGATATTCTGCACCGTCATGTGGATCCCGGCAGTGGCTCGGTGGTGTCGTCATGGCCCACCCGACGCATGCGCTGTTCAGCAGGTGAGCAGCGACCAACACCGGACCCAACTCCATGAGCAGCAAGCTCAGCTGCTGCTTCCTTCCATCCAAGGCTCCAAGCAGCCAAAAGTCGCAGGAGCTACGCTCAGTCAGGGCCTCACTTTACACAGAGTAGGTAGGTAGTTACTGCAAACCGGGGGGTCTCCTTCTCTCCCCGCTAGTTTGGCTTCGTACCCTGGTACCTACCTGAAGTAGGTACTTCGTACTCCGTACACGCAGTCCCGAGTTTGGTTTGGCGTCGGCTGTCTGAAATTCTGAATTTGGTTTGCATCATCTGATTGCTCGCCCGTCGTCCAATTCTTTATCCCTCACTTTTCCCTCCCAGACCCCCGATCTACGGATACTCTCGTCTCCTCTACCAGCTCAGTCTTTAGGAACACTAATCCTGCACTCCCACCAGCCTTGTTACAATCTCGGTCCGCCTGTGAGCCGCTTAAGCTGCCTTACAGAACCAACAAGTCGGTCAAACGAATCATCCAGACAGCGAGAGACATCAATAACCCCGGCATCCCTACCTCTACCCTTCCTATAGTTCCCTCCAAGCTATCACTGCCGGGTTTTGAACAAGGGTTAGAAGCAAACGGAAAACAACCCCAGAAACATAAACCAGAGACAACCCGCCTCAGCCTGTCATAGCTCCCTCGTCCCTCTGAAACACTTTTTGCGAATCCGGTGAGTTTTCCCATTGCTTATCATCGACGCCATAGCCTACCTTTCCCCAAGTGACGAGTGTAGAATTGCGATTGTGTATCCGTACACACCCGTACGCCATCTACTTTGTCCTTCCCAGGCCAAATCTACTACTTCTCCATTACCTTGCATTCCTGCACAACCCCGGCCACCCAGAAAAGACACAATCGCTGAGTACAAATCCCTACAGGTCTCCGCCGACCCTCTCCTCCCAGCCATCGCAAAGAATCGCAAACACCACCCTTCGGAGAACAAAAAAGGCAATCCAACGAACAGCCAAACCGAATCACAGCAATGGTTAAACGTGAGTCCTCTTTCCTTGTTCCCGCCCTTGCGCCGCGAAACATACTACAAAGTCCCAGCTGCAGACTGACACAGCATCATTCCAGACGCCCCGCTCGGCACTGCTGCCATCGTTTTCCTCTCGGGCTCCATCGTCCTGCTGCTCTTCGTCATCCTCTCTGCTGTCCGCGACGCCGCGCCCCTCAACAACACCTATTTCCTCGAGGCTGACACTACTGGAATCACCGGCGCACGCAACGGACTGACGCGGTGGAACTACTTTTACTATTGCAACGACCAGAACGCAGAGTGCTGGGGTGCCTGGCCTGCCCCGGCCTTTGGCTGGGCCTGGGGCCGTGATGCGGCCAACGTTCCCACCGGCCTTTCAGGTAGCCACGGAGGCGGCACCACCAGCACCGAGTATTTCTACATGTGGCGCTTCGGCTGGGTCATGTACCTGATCGCCCTCTTCTTCATGGCTCTTGCCTGGTTCGCCAGCTTCCTCGCATGCTGCGGTCGTCTCGGCGCCGCTGTCGCCGGCCTGGTCTCCGCCTCGGCTCTCTTCTTCTTGACTGTTGCCGCCTCTTTGATGACGTACGTCCCCCAGTTATCCATCGTCTCATTTTGTTCGCAGTGACTGACATTTCTCTATAGCGCAACATTCGTCAAGGCACGCAACGCTTTCCAGGCCGAAGGTCGTGAGGCCCACATTGGCACCTACGCCTTTGGCTTCACCTGGGGAGCCTGGGCCGCTCTTCTCATTGCGACCCTACTGTTCTGCATCGGCATCCGTGGCGACAAAGGCTACTCTGGAGGCAGCCGCTTCAGCCGCAAGCGCAGCACTCGCAGCCGCCAGTCGTTCGACGTCAACAGCAGCCGCCGTGTCAAGGAAGACTATGCATAAGGCAGCTGCTGGCCTTTCACAGCAAAGGAGCACCACGCATTTTTCCGCAACAATTCCTCATCGTGGGCACCGTTCCAAAATCTCAAGGATGTTGTATTAATGATATGTCCATCGTGTGTATGTTGTATTTACGCAATAATGTTACCTTGTTTCTGCATTTCGCTGGCGTTTTGGAAGAACCACATACACCCATGAGGTCTTCCCGAGATGGATTGATGGTCAACCTCTTGTCCATGGCCTTGGAGTTATGCGTCATTAGTACCCGGCTCCGACATGTACCGCTCTTTAGGTCTACTCCAAACTAATAGACTAATGCCGTAAACTTTGTCACTCCAGACCACTTGAAGCGTGTCCTATGTTTGGCGATGTTTCCTCCAACGATGAGAATTTGCAAAGTATAAATGTAAGAGTTACGAAATCCTCGACAGCGAGCCCTCGTACGCTGCATGAAAACTGAATGACTGTCAGCTCCTATTTGTGTCGCAACTTTCTCCCCCATGAGTATCGATCCACTTACCTCGTCCTATCCTGAACTCGCTACGTATCATGCGTAGGACCGAAGAGGCTTGTATGCTTTCAGAATTCCTTTTCGATTGGATTACGGCGTAGGACAGGTTTCTCCAGGCAAAGATACTTCTTTATTGACTGGGTCGCTCCTTTATTTTAGAAATTATCACTCAGAAGGGCCCATTGCCTCCCACCAACTCTGCTCACATGCATCAGGTCTTGTTCTCGCTGCTCCTTGTCTACATGCTAAGTCGGACCACACGTGTACACACACACACACGACACAGAAGTTTTCGTCGATAGCATCTCGGGATCTCTCAACACCTCAGTTATCTTTTTGTCATCTTGAAGCTCTTCTTTCTTTCTGTCTCGTTGTCATGCCACCCAGCCCCTCCGTCGTATATGCTCCTTTCGTTGTAAATACTCCCACACCCAGTAACCCATCATGACCATCAATCCGTGATTCAAGGAAAAGGGGGAGTGACAAAATTGCCAATCAAGAAAGGGAAACGCCATCCGTGTCGTATACTGGACGTTTCCAAAAGGCCGTGGAGCCTATCACTCAACGCAAGCAACGCAGAAGAAACCACCCCAATTGTCGAAAACAACCACTCCTTGCCAACCAGTAGTATATGCTGATGATGCAATGTAGAAATACTTGGATTGAGGGTATGAGACAAAGCAAAGACAAAAAAAAGATGAGAAGTGCAAGGGGCCGAATAAGAAGACTAACGAAGGCCAGCTCGGTCAGCATGGGAATTTGTGAATGTCATAAACCTCCCCCGCCGACAACGTGGCTTCGGCCAACTTTTTTATTTTCTCTCTCAACAACGCCTATTCCAGCATACCACCAGCTCCGACTACAGGGCTCGCGGCCGGGGACTGTAATGGAGCAGCATGTAGTGCCGGTTTGGCGGCCGGAGCGATGAGACCTGCGCGCTTCCGCTCCAACACAGACTTGACCCAGTCTGCGACTTCTTCATCCTCGGTGCCAGACGAGAGGGAGAGTTTGCCGACGGCATCTGCTACGGCCTCAGCTTCCTCTCCCTCTTCTGCCTCCTCGGTAATCGTCTCAATCTTGGAAAAAGGTGTCATCCAAGGGTGTTGGAGCAGCGCCGCATAGGTTGGACGATCCTTCGGAATCTTGTTGAGGCACTTGCGGACAAAGTCGTGTGCGGTGCTGGAGTAACCTTCTTCTGGCAGGCCTGGAGGCTCTCCCTCAACAATAGCCTGTCACCAAATTAGCTCGTGTCTCTCAGCAATCTTCAGTATACTTACACTCAGCTGGCTGAAAATCGTCGACGATACCTCTGGCGGGTAGGGGTACCGTCCCAAGGCGCACTCGATGACTGTCAAACCGAGACTCCAAATATCGCTCTGCACGCTGTATGTGCCATCGGCGCCAGCTGTCATACCTCCTCCTGAGATACGTTCCGGTGCCATGTAACTCTGGCAACCAATGTTGGTTTTGGCGATACTCGCAACAAGGTTTCCACTGACACCAAAATCGCAAATTTTGACTTGGCCTCTAGTATTGGCCAGGATGTTGGTGGGTTTGACATCACGGTGAATAATGTTATGCTCGTCCTTCAAAGACTTGAGGCCCATCACCGTGGAGTATGTAATCTTTTGTAGCACGCCTTCGGGAATACCACCGTCGTACAACTTGTCGATCGATCCACCGTCCATGTGCTCAATGCACATATAGACGGCACCTTCTTGGAAGAAGGCTCCATAGAAGTCAATGATGTAGGGCGATATACACTCGTGTAGGATAACGAGCTCCTTGAGAATGGTCGTGAACTTGGCCTCTTCCAGTTCTAACCGAATCTCCTTCATCGCCATCACCCTGCCGGTACCTTCAGTGGATGCTGAGACTGGTGATGGCTCGATCGATGTGTCGGCATGGCGGAGGGGTGATGGGTCCGACTGTGACGAGTTCAAGTTCGGATTCTTGAAACCGCCCAGTCCAGATCCAAACCTCGGTACTCTAGGCTTTGTATGCCTCACTTTGTAGACGGTACCGTAGTTACCCTTGCCAAGCTCGTCCAAGACCTCCACTTCGTCTAGCGAAATGGTGAAAGCTGTGCCATTGGCGAAGTTTACACCGTTCTTGGTGATAGTTGCAGCACCGTCAAACGTAATCCACCCCTTCTCCGAATCAATGTATTTCTTGAACTCGTCCATCTTAGATCCAGTCGTTCCGTTGGGTGCACCGCTCCCATTATTGGAAGGACCGTGGATATCAGACAACTTCGGCGCGGTCGGAGAGGCAGGCGAAGGACCACCGCCCATGTCGGAAAGTTTCATCATGGGTCCACGCCTAGCAGCAAGAGATGGTTTCGTTGGGATGACCGGGGCAGAGCGTGGCATACCACCAGGCGATGGGCGAACCATACCAGCAGGCAGCTTCAGCCCTCCAGGTATTCCGCCAGGTAACCCTCCGGGAGAGCCTTGTCGTGGGACTGGAGATTGCGGCGAGCTTGCCATATTATTGGGAGGGGGTTGTGAGCCAGCAGGCTTGCCCATGCGCTGAGCGTGAAGCGCCCTTGCCCTTGCCATGACTTCGTTCATGGCACCACCACCCATGCTCATCATGGAAGCGGTAGGAGGCGGACGGCGTGCGTTGCTCAGCATGCCCAACGGTGTCGAAGACGGAGTCATATTTTGGGGATCGGAGACGGTGCGAAGCGACGGGAGACGTTTGGGCACATCTGAAGGGGATTCCGAGGGGCCTTCGAGTGGGGTGCTGGCCTCGGAAGAGTCGGCGGAACCGGGCGACGTAGGGCTGCCGAGTCCGTCTCTATCGCCAACGTAGCCATCGGGGGTGGCAGGCATGGAGTCTGTAGTATTTAGGTCCGTCATTGTGAGATGTAAATTGACCTTGGCGGTGACCTGATGCTATCGATGGTCGATAGGGGAGGGTGGGCGAGTGAGTCGACTGCAGGCAGTGTCTCGGATGACTCTATAGCATGTGCGGCAGGTGATGGACCGGGACGGTAAGGTGCGGGAGGACAAAAGTCGGGCACGCGATAGATATCGAATTATCGTCAAGTCGGGTCGCACGCGGGGTGCTAGGGAGACAGGAGGGTCGATCGCTCAGAGGTAAGCGATAGCAGAGGATCGAAAACTCGAGGGTTGTAGCGAAATGCTGCCGCGGGGTCTAGACGCGGCGGTTTTGGTAGTGTGGCCTGCTGCGCAGTCGGGGTCGGGGTTGCGACCGGGGCGGTGGCAAGGGCAAACTCTAAGTCGGAAAATGGCAGAGAATGCGCGAGCGGGCTAGGCCGGCCAGTCCGATTTTGTTGAGCTGTAGCGGTCGTCTGATGGCTTACTGGCTTGTGAGTCCAATGTCCAATGCTGAGCAGAGGAGTAGGGAGAGGAGAGACGGATGGTGAAATAGAGAGAGTGAGACAGAGAGAGGAGGGTACGGAGAGTGGTGGGGCGAGAAGAGAGTGAGTGAGTGAGTGAGGGCGATGAGAGAGGAAAGAAGAGAATATGCGAGGGTGGATGCGACGTTTAAGGGGAGGGAGATAGATGAGGGAGGCTGAGGTATGATAAAGAGAGGAGGATGGATAGGTATCGAGAAGAAAGGTAAGGTAGGCAAAGCGAGGTACGGGTAGAGAGACCGACACATATGATGTCCTCGTTGGACCTTCTCTGTCGCTTTTGCTCTATTCAAGGACCCAAAAAGAGGTTGGCGGCGGGGCATGAATTAGACGAGGGAAAATGGGTTCGAAGTCGCAACGCAATTTTGGTGCAAACGTCACAAATGCAGCGCAGCCCAGAGTACCTTGGCTATCTGTCGTCGAGTAGGGGTACATGGGACCATCCGCGACGCAGTAACCTTAGTCACTCCTCCACGGGCTGAAGAGAGCACTTCAGCAGTGAGTGAGGTGGGTGACTCGTGAGAAATTCCAGGCGGGGGATTACGGACTTGAGGTAAGGTACATGGACGTGCCTGCCAGGACTCAAGAACTGGGCAGACGATGGAGCAGACAGCAAGGTATCTGCTCCATCTTTCTTGTACCTGTACCTTCCGTCCACTGTGGATGCACCATACGCTTGTACCCATCCAGCAAGGTCGACGTCTGCCTCTGCTCCTGCCCCGGTGCCTGCTTCTGAGCAGCATCGAGCAGAATTGCGGGAGGAGAAGAGAACCCAAAGGGCATAAATGCACCGCTTGATGGGAGAGAGTGAACTGGAATTGGACGGGGTCGGGAAATTGAGGAAACTTGAGGCTCACCGATCAACCAATCTCTGGTGAAAATCTAAAGACCGAACCGTAGTGGGTGTTGGATGCCAGAGGTCAATGCCTTGTTGCTCTGCGCGTGTTTGTGTGTAGGGCATCCGTCTGCGTGCACGGAAAGAGGCCAAGTGATGGACGAGTTCAGATGGGAAGAGGGGGGCGAACTAGTACAGCATATATAGAATCTACAAATCTATTAGTCGTTGATAGATAGAGTTGCACGCTGCAGCAGGGCAGAAATAGTCGA